GCAGGTTGTATCTGGGGAGCCATGTCTGTTGGGAGAGCAGAATCATCCCTTTAAGTACTCCACCCCGACCCTATGTGTGTAGTGTGTGTGTGTGTGTGTGTGTGTGTGTGTGTGTGTGTGTATGTGAGTAGAAGGGCTGTGATTGGCTACCTCTGACATGTAGCACCATTGGTATAGTATTTACCTACTGGGCATGAAGTTCTGGGTTTCATCAGCAAGCATGGCATAAAACTGGCCCGGTGACACACACCTGTAATTGAGCCCTTGGGAATCAATGGCAAGAAGATCAGGAGTCCACAGTCATCCTAGGCTAGATAGTAAATTCGAGGTCAGACTGAACTACATGAGACTGTCTGAAAAGCAAAAACAAAAACGCAAAAACAAAATGGAGAGATAGGTGCCTCTAAAGCGCTCTGAAATGCCTGGACCTTGAAACTGAACAGCACAGATGATCTCCTCAAAGTTCAGCGAGTGAAGCAAGTTCTAGAAGACGAGCTAGCTCACAGAGCCAGGGAGTTCTAGAAGGCCTTAGGTCAATCTGGAGTCTGCCTTCTCTATCGTTCTTTTAATGCCCAGTGCTGGGACACTGGCAGGATTGCAAGGGTGTCCTGAGCTGAAGCGGGATTTGGAGCCACAGCCGCCGCCGCCGCCGCCGCCGCCGCCGCCGTGTGGTCGCCACCGTTGCAGCTCTGGTAGGGAGGATCGCTGCTATGTGAACCTCTCCCTCTGAGTCCTGGTGGTGTTAGCTAGAGGGGCTTGGGAACAGCAAGGCAGTGATCAGAGATGGAGGGAGGGATGGATCCTGGGCAGAGGAGAGAGGGAGAAAGGAAAGAAGGAAGGAAGGAAGGAAGGGAGAGAGGGGGAAGGGAGAGAACAAATATGAATAAGAGCTTTTGCTGGCAGGCCTCTGGTCTATGAGTTATCACCAGATCCATCTCCCTCCGTAAACCTTCGGACCTGCTGTGAACCACTCCGGATAAACTTATCTTGGAGTCACTTTACTATGAAAAACGTTATAAAATCACAAACACTCACTGGGTAGCAGTGAACTTGGTTTCCTCATCTATGCATTGAGGATATTAATCCCAACTCTTTGAATGGTTAAGAGGATTAGATGAGATTAAGTTAGAAAATACCCACAAAAACACCTGGTCCTACAGAGTTGAAGGATCCAGTGAAGGTAATAATTATCTCCCTGCCCCGTACTTTGAGAAGGGTTCGCGCTCTGTGACCGTGACTTCATTGTACTTGAGTTTAAGACATACCCCCTGAGCAGCCACTCCTCAGCAGCAGCTTAGCCTTTTAAGATATGAAGATAAATAGGACCAAGCTGTCATTCTGTGGAAGCTCACCTTGGCTGGGGGGCTGACATGTATTACAATCCAGTATGAAGATAAAGTCACTGTACGTGTCTAGGGAGATGGTCCCTGCCAGGGGACCAGCTTAGATGGGATTCATCCTTGAAGCTTAATAGAAGCCATCCATGCGGAGGCAAAAAGACAGCTAAATTGCTAGACATCAGGCATCACCAGAAGAGGGAACAGAACCAAAGGTCTGAGTGAAGGACAAGCCGGTTTTACTGGGTCATGAAGGGACCTCTGGACCGCTGTTAGGAGCAGTGAAGGGGGAGCTGTTGAAAAGTGCTACAAGACTAGGGTTTGCACTTCAGTTCATTCTGGTGCATGTGACATGTGTAGGAGAGTTTGGAAGAGGTCAAGACTGAGCCTAAGGAAATCGTAAGGAAAAGCAGGGTGGTGGCTTGAACTTAAGGAAAGATTGTGCTTTTGGAGGAAAGGGTCAACAGGACCTTGGTGTTGATTGGCTGTGGGTGGATGAAGGGTTTTGGCTGGAGAAGTAAAGGCAACATCCATGTTTCTATTATACTTATTTGAGTATGTGGGTGCTCTGTGGTTGTGGAGGGAAGACAGGACCAAGAAGGGCAGAGTTTGGTGGGAACATTATTTCTCTTAGATGAGTTTAGTTTGGGGTGACTGTCGGGTATCAACAAGAGGTGTCCAGAGGTCAGTTCTTAGAGAAGATGCCATTCAGTTCTTGGAATAGAAGGTGATTACTCTGCAGCTGATGTTAACAGCAGGGACGTCCTAAGCCTTCCTGATGTGGAAGGGGGGAGGGTTTCAAGGTAGAAAAGACTGGGAAACATCCCAGCATTTCAAACTGGGTCAGAAGCAGGTTATGCAGTGTAGCAGGAGAAATAGTCAGTGAGGGAAGAAGAAGCCTGGATGAAGTGAGCCATGTGGAAACCATCAAAGCTCTGATTTCCACGGGGAAGCAGTTGGCAGGAGAAATGGCCCCAGAGCCCCTATGAGGTGGGTGAGCACAGGTCTTAGGTGGGTGGTGGTGGGAAACCTGATGCTCCCAGGTTAACAAACAAGGAGAGCAAGGTATAGTGGCGTACAGCTGCAATCCCAGCAACTCACGGGGCCAAGGCTGGAAGACTGTAAGTTGAAAGTCAGTCTGGGAAATTGGCAAGACCTTGTCTCAAAATAAAATGGATGTGAGGATGGACCAAGGGACTGGTGATGTAGGACAGTGGTGGACTACTTGCTTAGCATAGGAAAAAACCTTGGGTTTGATCTCTAATACTAGGAAAGAGAAAAGAAGACAAGATGAAGGTACAGGGAGACAGCGGTGATTTTCCTCTTGGAAATCTGGATGAGAAAAGATAGATCCATACAGATAAGGATAAGAGAAGCCAGGGCTCTAAGCCGGGGCCTCTGCATGGAATAAGGACGAACAGATAGAGATGAAGTTTGCAGATGCAGCAAGAGAAGGCATGCCTGGGAAAGGGAGGAAGAACTGAGCTCGGAGGAAAGAGGGACATGGTGGATATGTCATTGAACCCAGGTTGGGAAGCCTGCCACTTGGAAATCCATCGGCCCAGAGAGGAGTGTAAAGAGAAGCAACCTGAAGGAGACAGGCCAGCATCTCCAGAAACCCACAGTGAGAACTTGGAGGTACGGAATATTCACGAAGATTGGGGGTTACATCCAGAGATGAGCATTTCCTCATACTGGTCTGAGCCAACCAGCACGATGTCTTTATACCAGCAGGAACGGTGATCCCGTTAGTGGTGGGCTTTTCTTATCTTTGAAGGCAAACCGCCCCAGGCATGAGGGTCACATCCTGGGAATGAGAAAGGAAACTGGGAATAAAGCAGGATGGCACCACCCATGGCAACAGCTTACACAGTGACCTTCTCATCACTCCAGGGGACCTTTGATAGGATGTGGAAGGCTCCTGATGAGTTTGAAGGTGGGATGAGGCTGATGCAGGAAGAGGAAAATGATTCTGCTTTTCTTAGTGCAGTAAGGGGTGAGGTCACCAGGGAACTAAGAAATGGGACTCTCAGGGGTAGCAGTGAGGGTTCTGAAGCGCTTTTGATGGAACCGAGGGAAAAATGATCAAAGACAAGCATTAGCATGGCTGCTAGTTCACAAAAGAAACAACGCCAAGACTGTTCTCAGTGCAAAGAGTCAATATCCTTACACTTATTTTCTCTTTTATTCTTTCGACCATCTTCTGAGTCAAGTACTACTAATTTCCCACCATCTTATAGATGAAGAAAAAGAGGCACGGAGAATGTCCTATACCCAAGACATAGGAAGGAGCAGAGGTGGGCGTCAAACCCATGTGCAAAGCTTTGCCTTTAATCATTTTGTCATCCTTGACATTTAGGGTGGGAGGTTGGAAAATAAGAATACTCATGCTTTCTTTCATCTTTTTTTTTCTTTTTTGAACAGAGTGTGAGCGTACAAAGTAGCAAGTTACCTTATGGCACATTTATACATACTTAGTTTGGGTTGATCCTTATCCTTTCTCCCATCTCCATGTATCCTCATCCTAGGTTATACTACCCTTCCACCTCTACTTTCCCTATTCTCACTTCTTTCTTTCCTTCCTTCCTTCCTTCCTTCCTTCCTTCCTTCCTTCCTTCCTTCCTTCCTTCCTTCCTT